GGTCTTCAATTCGATTCCATTGGTCCACATGTCGGTTTTTATGCCAGTACCAAGCTGTTTTTATTACTGTAGCTCTATAGTAGAGCTTGAAGTCAGGGATTGTGATACCTCCAGAGGTTGTTTTATTATACAGCATTCTTTTGGCTATCCTGGGTTTTTTGTTTTTCCCTATGAAGTTGAGTATTATTCTTTCCAGGTCTGTGAAGAATTGGGTTGGTATTTTGATGGGGATTGCATTGAATCTGTAGATTGATTTTGGTAAAATTGCCATTTTTACTATGTTAGTCCTGTCTATCCATGAGCATGGGAGATCTTTCCATTTTCTGACATCTTCAATTTCTTTTTTCAGGGATTTAAAGTTCTTGTCATATAGGTCCTTCACTTGCTTGGTTAGTGTTACGCCAAGGTATTTTATGTCATTTGTGGCTATTGTAAAGGGTGATGTATCTCTGATTTCCTTCTCAGCCTCTTTGTCAATTGTATATAGGAGGGCTGCTGATTTTTTTGAGTTGATCTTGTATCGTACTATGTTGCTGAAGGTGTTTATAACCTGTATCAGTTCCTTGGTGGAATCTTTGGGGTCACTCAAGTATACTATCATGTCATCTGCAAATAGGGAAGGCTTGACTTCTTCCTTTGCAATTTGTATCCCCTTAATCTCCTTATGTTGTCTTATTGCTCTGGCTAGAACTTCAAGTACTATATTGAATAAGTATGGGGAGAGTGGACAGCCTTGCCTCGTTCCTGATTTTAGTGGAATTGCTTTGAGTTTCTCTCCATTTAATTTGATGTTGGCTGTTGGCTTGCTGTAAATTGCCTTTATTATGTTTAGGTATGTTCCCTGTATTCCTGATCGCTCCAAGACCTTTATCATGAAGGGGTGTTGGATTTTGTCAAATGCCTTTTCTGCATCTAGTGAGATGATCATGTGGTTTTTTTCTTTGAGTTTGTTTATATGGTGTATTACATTGCCGGACTTTCGTATGTTGAACCAACCTTGCATCCCTGGGATGAAGCCTACTTGATCATGGTGGATAATTGTTTTGATGTGTTCTTGGAGTCTGTTTGCCAGTATTTTATTGAGTATTTTTGCATCAATGTTCATGAGGGAGATCAGTCTGTAGTTCTTTTTCTTTGTTGTATCCTTGTTTGGTTTAGGAATCAGGGTAATTGTAGCCTCATAGAAAGAGTTTGGTAATGTTCCTTCTGTTTCTATTGTGTGGAACAATTTAGAGAGTATTGGTATTAACTCTTTTTTGAAGATCTGGTAGAATTCTGTGCTGAAACCATCTGGTACTGGGCTTTTTTTGGTTGGGAAAATTTTAATGACTATTTCTATTTCCTTAGGGGTTATTGGACTATTTAAATAGTTTATCTGGTCTTGATTTAAGTTAGGTATGTGGTACCCATCCAGAAAATTATCCATTTCTTTTAGATTTTCCAGTTTTGTGGAGTAGAGTATGACCTGATGATTCTCTGGATTTCCTCAATGTCTGTTGTTATGTCCCCCTTTTCATTTCTGATTTTGTTAATTTGGATGCTCTCTGTCTTTTGGTTAGTTTGGATAAGGGCTTGTCTATCTTGTTGATTTTCTCAAAGAACCAACTCTTTGTTTCATTAATTTTTTGTATTGTTCTCTTTGTTTCTATTTTATTGATTTCAGCTCTCACTTGGATAATTTCCTTGCGTCTATTCTTCCTGGGAGACTTTGCTTCTTCTTGTTTTAGAGCTTTCAGGTGTGCTGTTAAGTCACTAGTGTGAGATTTCTCCAACTTCTTTATGTGGGCATTTAGTGCTATGAATTTCCCTCTTAGCACTGCTTTCATAGTGTCCCATAAGTTTGGGTATGTGGTGTCTTCATTTTCTTTGATCTCTAGGAAGTCTTTAATTTCTTTCTTTATTTGTTCCTTAACCCATTGGTGATTCAGTTGAGCATTATTCAGTTTCCATGAGATTGTAGGTTTTCTGTAGTTTTTGTTGTTGTTGAAATCCAACTTTAGACCATGGTGGTCTGATAGAACACAGGAGGTTATTCCAATTGTTTTGTATCTGTTGAGATTTGTTTTGTGGCCAAGTATGTGGTCGATTTTAGAGAAGGTTCCATGGGGTGCTGAGAAGAAGGTATATTCTTTTTTGTTAGGATGGAATGTTCTGTAGATATTGATTAAGTCCATTTGAGTCATGACATCAGTTAAATCCTTTATTTCTCTGTTAAGTTTCAATTTGGGAGATCTGTCCAGTGGTGAAAGTGGGGTGTTGAGGTCTCCCACTATTAATGTGTGGGGTTTTATATGTGATTTAAGCTTTAGTAATGTTTCTTTTACATATTTGGGTGCCCTTGTGTTTGGGGCATAAATGTTCAGAATTGAAACTTCATCTTGGTGGATCTTTCCTGTGATGAGTATGTAATGCCCTTCTTGATCTCTTTTGATTGATTTTAGTTTGAAGTCTATTTTGCTGGATATCAGGATGGCTACACCCGCTTGTTTCTTAAGACAGTTTGATTGGAAAGTCTTTTCCCAGCCTTTTATTTTTAGGTAGTGTCTATCTTTGAATTTGAGATGTGTTTCTTGTATGCAGCAGAAAGATGGGTCCTTCTTTCGTATCCATTCTATAAGCCTATGTCTTTTTATAGGTGAATTAAGTCCATTGATATTGAGGGAAATTAATGACCAGTGATTGTTCATTCCTGTTATTTTTTGGTGGTGATGTGTGTGTACTTCTCTTCATTGGGGTTCATCGCTGTGGCTTTATCTGTTGCCTGTGTTTTCGAGGGTGTATCTGACTTCCTTAGGTTGGAATTTTCCTTCTAGTGCTTTCTGTAGGGCTGGGTTTGTGGATAAGTATTGTTTAAATCTGGCTTTGTCATGGAATGTCTTGTTCACTCCATCTATGGTGATTGAAAGTTTTGCTGGGTATATTAGTCTAGGCTGACATCCATGGTCTCTTAGTGTCTGCATTACATCTGTCCAGGTCCTTCTGGCTTTCAAAGTCTCCATTGAGAAATCGGGTGTTATTCTGATGGGTTTGCCTTTATATGTCACTTGGCCTTTTTCCTTTGCTGCTCTTAATATTCTTTCTTTATTCTGTACGTTTAGTTGTTTAACTATTATGTGGCGAGGGGACTTTTTTGGGGGGTCTAGTCTGTTTGGTGTTCTATAAGCTTCTTGTATCTTCATAGGCATTTCCTTCTTTAAGTTGGGAAAGTTTTCTTCTATGATCTTGTTGAATATATTTTCTGTTCCTTTGAGTTGGAATTCTTCTCCTTCTTCTACCCCTATTATTCGTAGGTTTGGTCTTTTCATGGTGTCCGAAATTTCTTGGACATTTTGGGTCATGACTTTGTTGGCTTTAGTGTTTTCTTTGACTGATGAATCTATTTCTTCTACTGTATCTTCAACGCCAGAGATCCTCTCTTCCATCTCTTGCATTCTGTTGGTTATACTTGCATCTGAATTTCCTGATCATTTACTCAGATTTTCTATTTCCAGCATTCCCTCTGTTTGTGTCTTCTTCATTTTTTTCTATTTCCCTTTTCAGGTCTTGGACTGTTTCCTTCATCTCTTTATTGCTTTTTCATGATTTTCTTTCAGGGCTTTATTGTTTTCTTCTACTTTATTTGTCCCTTCCTCTAGTTTTTTATAGCATTCTTCCCATTTTTTTGTTTGTCTTTTCCTCTGTATAAGCCTCTACCTTCTTCATGATGTTATTCATAAGGCTGTTTTCTTCTGCTTCTTCCAATTTTTGATGTTCAGGTCTATATGTTGGAGGAGGGATAGGTTCTGGTGATGTTGTATTGCTCTTCATTTTGTTGTATGTACTTCTGCCTTGATGTCTGCCCATCTCCTTTTGGTTCGTTCTTGGTCTTATCAGCACACTTGGTCCAGACAGAGCTGACAGAGTCAGGAAGTCTCTCTCTCTTGTCCAGATTGGTGCTCTCTTGTCCAGATGGGAAGTCCGGGGCAGGATGGGAGCTCTTGACCAGACTGGAAGTCCGGGGCAGGATGGGCACTGGGGGCCGGTCTCTAAGTCTCAGGAAGTGGCTGGGGTCTCGGGGGGATGGGCATGGGTCAGTGCGTGGAGATTGCAGAGTGTGCCGGTGGTCTTTTAGAAGGGGAGCCTTCCTGGTAGGGCTAGAAGGGAACCTGCCCGGTGGCCACAACCTGGGGCCAAGTTGGGCAGGTCTTCCCTGGAGTGGCTGGTCCCCAGGGATGGGGTCTAGGCTGAGCCCAGGCACTCACCTCTTGTCCAGAAGGGAAGTCCGGGGCAGGATGGGAGCTGGGGACCGGTCTCTAAATCTCAGGAAGTGGCTGGGGTCTCGGGCAGATGGACGTGGGGGCAGGGCGTGGAGACTGCAGGGTCTGCCGTGGGTCTTGGAGAAGGGGAGCCTTCCTGGTGGGGCTAGAAGGGAACCTGCCCGGTGGCCAGAACCTGGGGCCAAGTTGGACAGGTCTTCCCTGGAGTGGCTGGTGCCCAGGGATGGGATCCAGGCCCAGCTAGGGCACTCACCTGTGCTCCAGAAGGGAAGTCCAGGGCAGGATGGGAGCTGGGGGCCGGCCTCTAAGTCTCAGGATGTGGCTGGGGTCTCGGGTGGATGGGCGTGGGGGCAGGGCGTGGAGACTGCAGGGTCTGCCAGGGGCCTTGGAGAAGGGGATCCTTCCCGGTGGGGCTAGAAGGGAACCTGCCCGGTGGCCAGAACCTGGGGCCAAGTTGGGCAGGTTTTCCCTGGAGTGGCTGGTGCCCAGGGATGGGGTCTAGGATGAGCCCAGGCACTCACCTCTTGTCCAGAACGGAAGTCCAGGGCAGCATGTATTTTTTTATTTTAAAGTGTAAGCCATGAGTTTATATAGAATAGTTATAAGGAAAATTGTGAGCATAGCTCATGAACGTGGGCTTTTTGGTTATTTCCTGAAATTGAAATGACACTGAAAAAATTAGTGTGTTTAGGGATCATGATGTTTCAGTGAAGTGTCCTCAAGTCATTCCTTTTTCTTTTCCAGATATGTGTCACAAAGATGTCTACACGGAACTGCCAGGGGATGGATTCAGTGATCAAGCACCTGGACACAATCCCTGAGGATAAAAAAGTCAGAGTTCAGAGGACACAGAGCACTTTTGACCCATTTGAGAAACCAGCCAATCAAGTAAAAAGGGTGCATTCTGAGAACAATGCTTGCATTAACTTTAAGTCCTCCTCTGCTGGCAAAGAGTCACCTAAAGTTCGAAGGCACTCCAGCCCCAGCTCGGTAAGCTCCGCCCCTTCCAATATATCACCGGGTAAACCCCAGGCCTAGCCTTCATCATAGCTGCACACTGTGAGGAAGAAGGCAGGTGGTGTTTGCAGTGAGTTTTTATGCATTTTCTCCCAGGGTGGTTGAATGTTTTGGAAGAGAGAAAGCTATTCACAGACTCTTGAGTTAAGAGTATCCAGCAAGCAAATGAATGAAATAATTTAACTTATTTTTAGAAAAAAGCAAACAAACACTTTTTTCTTCTTTTAAAAATAAGAGTGTTTGGATTTAGACAAATTGATCATTAAAAATCCTTTGTATTTCTCCCTCTTCGAGATGATTGTGAACTTTTCTGTGCTTGTGAGAAGTTTTCTAAGTTGGCAGATTCACAAAGCATTTCACTTCAAGAAGAGTGTTGTTCATGTGTGGTCCCACAGTTTGCTTCTGGTGGAAATATTTTAGAATTTAGCAGCAAGGCATTGATCCTCAAAGAAAAGCCCGTTCATTTTTAGGAAATCCTATGCTCTACACCAAGGCATTTCTTGCCTTTTGACCAAGGTACCTTCATTTGCATGTAACAGAATCCAGTAGACTGGGTGGCTTCAGAAAGAGAAATTTACTTTTCATCGTCATTCTAGAGCTGGGAAGTCCTTGCTTAGAATTCTGGCAGTGTGGTGCTGCATGTGGTCAGGACACTGGTCTCACTCATGAGGGTGACAACCAGATTAGCTTCTGTCTTCTCCAGATGTCTCCTCTGTCTAAGCACTGCTTCACTGAGATGGGGCATTTCCAGGACTCAGCTTTTAAAGGAGGCATTCTCATTCAGGATGCTTGCTGCTTTTCACTTACAAAATTGTAATTGGAACTCGTACTTTCAAGGCTGGTGCGCATTTAACATTGTAAAAATATCCTGTGATCTTTGGAAACTGAATAATTTTCAAACTTAACCGACACTTAATAATCTTTTGACATTGATGCCCTAAGAGTTTAAAAAGAGAGAGGGAAATATTAAGGGAACTTACATTCTGTTATCTTGCTAAAAACACATGTCATTTGACAAATTTGAGTTCAAAGTTTTTAATGGGAACAGATCCAGCAAAGCCACTGAACTGCTCCAATAGTATTGGCACTTAAGTTTAATTACACTTTATATTGTAGAATATTATTTTAAGATGTATTACATTTGTTTATGCTGTGGAACATTTGTTTTAATAATGCAAAAATGTGTTGCATTCTTTTATGTTGCATTTGTTTAACTCTGTAAAGCTTTGTTACTTTGCCTGTCTAAAACACCTGATTGGTGAAATAAAGAGCTGAATGACCAATAGTGAATCAGGAGAAAGGATAAGTGGGGATAGCAAGCAGAGAGAATAAATAGGAGGAGAAATCTGGGAAAAGAGGAGCAAGAGAACAAGGAGAGGAGGACGCTAGAGGCCAGCCACACAGCCACACAGCCAGACAAGGAGTAAGAGTGAAAGTAAGATATACAGACATAAGGAAAGGTAAAAGCCCAGAGGCAAAAGGTAGATGGGATAATTTAAGAAAAGCTGGCTAGAAACAAGCCAAGCTAAGGCCAGGCATTTATAAGTAATAATAAGCCTCCATGTGTGATTTATTTGGGAGCTGGGTGGCAGGCCCCCAAAAGAGCCAAAAGAGAAAAAGAGTGAAAGAGTAAAACAAGCAAACAAACAAAGCAAAAAAAAAAATACCCACAAGAAACAAAACCAATAACAGCTTTACGCTACGGAACAGATGCAATGTCAATAAAGCAGAAGTAAATGTTACTGCAACACCTTTGAAAGTTGGTTATATACCCCCAATCTTTGCCCATGATTGTTACATGTTACTGTAAGGTAGGACTTACCTGTGTCACAGCTCTACCATTGACTTCTCATGGAGCCTTCAAATTTAGTATTATGTAAAAGAAATTAAGAGTTGTTGAGAGTGATCAAGCTCCTACCATGTTAAGAGAATAATTGTGTGCATTTTACTCTGTAGTTATCTGGTATCATGTATGTCAGCCTATAATGGATTTGCAGAAATTATCATACTAGATATTACAAGGAGTTAATCTTACACTAAAATGTACAGTCTATCTGAGTTCATTCAAATGATCATCCTGTACGTTGTCTGGAATTCCTAGCTGTGGTGCATGGGTACAATATTCTTCTGGGATATTGTTCTAATTATTCCTATAGGTGTTGTTCTGATTATTCCTATAGGTACAAGCCTTTTAGGTTCTGGTTTTCATTTTAAACACATCCCCATTCCCTTGTTTTGAAAATTTCCATAATTTCTGATTCATGTAATAATCTTGGTTTATAATTATACTTTCTCTGCCTTTGATCTAGAATCAGCCATTTCTCTAGACAGCTCTCATCCTTCCCCTTGCCAATTGGAGAATGAAAATTGGAAACTAAGATGTGATTGCTGTGTGTGCTTATTTCTAATGGAGGTCATGTAGTTTTAAAAGTCAATGCACACATCATAATGTAAATATTAACAATGTACTTTGGATATTCATTTATAAATTTTAATAAGGAATTAGTTTTTTAAAAAATTTTATCAAGAAAAGCTGGGAGCCACCTGTTTGATATGTTTGGTACTTTTCTTTCCTCATGAAGTTTTTTGGTTATTGCAGTAGTATTGAACACTGCTTACAGGTCAAATATGATAGAATTAGGCAGATGGTAGTGCCATAGGTTTTGAAACCCACCGTATAATTAGAGAAACTAGTAGCGTAAAACTAAACCAGTAGATAATATCTCCAGTAAACACACAGCATCTCCATGAAGCTCAGGGTCATAGGGACTGGACAGATTTTGAACAGTATCAAGAACTAGACAGTATCAGGGAAGGGGAAGCTGAGGACCTAGACATTCTCACCTGGGACATGTGGCAGCTCACTGAGAATCCTGCACAGCACTGAAACCTCAAAGAGAAACTCAATGGCTCATGTGAGCAGGGAGAGCAGGGAGAGTTCAGGGAAGTCTCAAGGTATGTGGGTAGTCTCACGTCTTTCTTTTGGGACTTTTCTTTTTCTTTTTTCTTTTCCATTTTTCTTTATTAAGAAATTTTCTACTCACTCAACATACCACCCACAGATTCCACCTCCTCCCTCTTCCCATCTCCCAGCCCTCCCTCCCAAGCCACCCCACATCCCTACATCCCCAAAATCAAGGTCTCCCATGGGGAGTCAGCAGAGCCTGGCACACTGAGCCTAGGCAGGTCCAAGCCCCTTCCCACTGTACCAAGGCTGCGCAAGGTGCCACATCACAGGCACTGGATTTCTTTTGGGACTTTTCTAAAATGACAGATTGAGGCACTTTCTTGCCCTACGTAGAAAGCATTGGAAAAATTCTGCACGGGGTAGATTCAACAGATCCAAGGGAACAGGGAGGCCCAGGAAGAAGTGACATAGGGAAACAGAACTTAGGGATAACTAGGAATTTACGGGATAATAAGGAATACACAAAGAGAATTTTCTCTGTTATATTTGTATCTACAGACACACTTATCTAACATTTTAAGCTTACATTAATATGTATCATTTTATAATATATTATTCATACTACAGAAAGTATAGTATACTATGATTGAATTTCTAACTTTTATTTCTTGTAATTGCATTTTCTTTTCATTAGTCCCCAACTGGCGAGATTAGTAACACCATTTTGCCTTCAATAACAATGTGTTAGTTTGATTATTTTATACCTATGACAACCATAGGAAATCATGACCTATGAAAACCATTGGCACAGGGTTCCGTTATTTTTGGAAGCATTTGATGACATAGTGGTGATTGCTAAATCCAAGAGTACCCCTGCCCTGACACAGCAGCATTAATTTGTACCTTTATCTCATCCTTATTTTAAAATATTGGTTAGTTAGTATTGTCTGTAGGAGTAGAGTTGAGAAGAAAAGACAGCTTGATGAAGTTGGCAATACATCTACTATTATAATGAGGAAATGATTATTCATATACATGCTGTGGCAGAAACTATTTTAAATCGCCACCCCTTGGAATGGGGATGTAACTCAAGGGTAGAACCCCTGTCTATCACGGATATACAAGCCTTGTGTTCAATCTCCAGTATTGCATAAAAACAAAACACAACACGAAACCAGAAACTAAAAACTGAAAACCTTAATCACACCTCCATTTCTTGTACATGTGTGTGTGTGTGTGTGTGTGTGTGTATGTGTGTGTTTCCCAGGTATAGGTTGTTATATGTTAGGAACAGTGGCTGAAGTCCAAGAATCAATAGAAACTTGATATCAGTATCTATTATGCTAGTCCATATTTTTTTTTTCCCTTAGACCATGGTATGTTGAAATTCAGGGGTATTGTAAAGAATAAAATTCATAGTAATTAACATATTTTTAAAAGATATTTGATAGTTTGTTTCTAGCATTTTTTATTATCCACTTTTTTATAGTATTAGTAGTATTTAATGCTATTACTGACATGATAAGCACTCACTAGCCTTTCCTGTTGCCTTCAGCATAGCCCATCACCACACTCTTACTAGCTGTGGCTGTTGGGAGGACTGTAGGTAGATGCTTGTCTTGGTGGTCCAGGTTAGAAGGTATTTCATTGAGTTGGGCTGACATCTGCTGAGCCCAAACAGAGCTTATTTTCAGAAATTTCATATTTAGGTTAGTTTTCTCCATATATTCTCCAAACTGCTATAAATTTACGTCTTTCTATACCATGAACATCTTCATGTCATGATAGTAGTGTTAAATCTGGAGAGAGAGGAGGAAGGTCTGGATTTGCAATGAGAGTCACACATACTCATCCTGGGGTCATGTCTGCTTAGCATTGCTTCCTTTCTGGTGAGAGTGCAAAATCCTCACACAGAGCCAAGCCTCTTTGTCTGCTTGTTTCAATGGCTGGTATTTGGGTCTGTACCTTTGTCCAGCATTTAGATCCTCTTTGCAATTAAATTATCTGTTTACTGTGAATTGCCTTAATGATGGAGTAAAACTGCTGAGTGATAGATCCTGCTCTG